AACTCTTTATCTCTCCTATTCTGAATGATAGCCTTGCCACATAAAGTGTTCTTGGCTGCCTATTTTTCCCATTTAGCACATTGAATATATCCTGCCATTCCTTTCTTGCTTGCTAAGTTTCTGTGGATAGATCTGCTGTAAATATGATCTGTCTTCCCTTGTCAGTTAAGGACTTTTTTTCCTTTTGCTTTTAGGATTCTTTACTTGTTTGTGTATTTTGTGAAGTTGACTATGGTATATCTTGGTGAGGTCAGGCTTTTGTTGAATTTAATGTGAGTTTTCTGTGCTTCTTGGATTTTGATGTCTGTGTCCTTCCCCAGATTAGGCAAGTTTTCAACTATAATTTGCTAAAATAAATAATTTGCTCTTATTCTGTCTTTTTTATCTTCTGGGACTCTTATGATATGAATGTTAGCACATTTTAAGAAGTCACTGAGTTTCCTGAGTCTACTTGTGTGAACCAGTACCTTTCTCTCCCTCTTCTTTTCAATGTCATTATTTTCCATAATTTTATATTCTGTATCACTGATTCGTTTTCCTGCTTTTGTTCATCCTCATTACTATGTCATTCATTTATGTTTGCATCTCAGTTACAGCATTTTTAATATTGGTCTGACTAGATTTTAGGTGTTTTATCCCTGTAGTAGGGATTCACTAGTGTCTTCTATACTTTTTTCAAACTCAGCTAGTATTCTTGTAATTGTTGTTTTAATTTTTAGTTCAAACATCTCTCTTATATCTGTATTGATTAAATCCCTGGCTCTGATTTCTACTTGCTGTTCTTTCTTTTGGGGTGAATTACTTCCTCTTGTCACTTTGTCTAGAAAAAAAATTTAAGTGGATTCTAGGTGTGTTTTGGTCTGCTTGTTAAAAGAAGATCCTAAAAAATAGCAGTTAAGAAATATGTATGTGTATATGCATTTATATGTATAAATTAAAAAGAATTAAAGTATTAAAAATAAAAAAATACAAAGGAAATTAGATCCTCTTTCCCCTATTGCTGAAGCCTTGCAGCATTCTATGATCAGTAGACTTGTTTGCGCCAGGGCTTTGTGCTGGTCCTCTAGGGGACCCTGTTGATCTGATTCTTAGGCCTACTTGCTCTAGTGGGGATGCATCTACATGGTGCAGGGTGGTGGGGGATGGTGGTGGCGGTGAGGAGTCAGGGCGGGGGGATAGGGGAGCTTCGTGTAGTGGCCGGTCTCCCACTGATGGTGCTGTTTAGGTCACTGAAGTGGGTCATCTGGTGGGCTCGTGGTGAAAATGGCTTTGCCTGCTGTCTCCTCTCTGGAATAGGGAGCTGTTATCTGCTGCTTCTCTGTAAGCCCTCGCAGAAGAGCAAACAGTCACCCCTCCTGTGATCCTGACTTCTGTCAGATCCCTGCCTTCAGCCTGTGTAAGCTGTCCATCTGTCAGGCAGCACAGCCCTCCTGTATTATATTTCAGGCGAGGCTGTATTTCAAAACTCTAAACTTGAGAGATGCCCCACAGTGAGGCCTTGTGCTGAGTCTCTGGGGTAGGTCTTGCTGCACTGTGGCCTGTACTGGCTTGTCCCAGAAAAGGATTGTGGGATTGCTCAGTGTGGTTTGGAGTTTATGGTAAATCACAGCAGAAAGCTGGCACCAAGGTTTTTTGCCCTCAGCCAGCATGTTTGTTCCTATGCTGGTGAATTGGACAGCTCAATGGTGCCTTAGCCTACCTTTTGCCCCTGGAGCGGCTGTATTACTGCTACCAAATGAACTCCAAGGAGGCAAACTTTTTCCCTCTATGCACCCCAGGGGATCTTCAGATGATACTGCTTGCTGTTGGCCTTCTGTCCTCCTTCCTCACAGGAGCACAATGACCCTGACCCCTGAAACTTCAGACTCTGCACTCCACTGTTTATAAAAAACTTGTAGTATTTAAACCCTCTTCTTCTTCCCTGTTGTTAGTCTTGGGGAAGAGTTTTTCCTGTGCAGTCCCCTTTGTGTGTTTTCATTCTTTATTCACTCCTCCTTTCTCTCCCCCTACTCCTTCCACTCCATGCAGTCAGGGCTCCCTCCTCTCAGCGTGCCTACAGCTCCTCTCTCCCCAAAATCAACTCTGTGCAGTTCTTGTCCTCCACAAGGTGGTGGTTTTTTCTGCCTGTAGACATGCACCTTTGTTCTCAGTCCTCAGATCAATTTCTAGCCTGCTGAGTTTTAAAACTCCAGGCTTTAGGGATGTGGCGTGGGCAGCAGCCTGGGCTGGTCTTCTGGGGGAGTGTGTTGCCATGCTGGGAGTGAGACAAGCTTCACAGAGAAGAGCAGTTGTGCTACAGTGCTGCGGTGTGGGACTTGGTGTAAGCAATTTAGGCAGCCAGTGTGGGGCTGAGGTGCTTTCTGCTTGTAGTTCTGTGTGTATGCTGAGGGGCGGGAGAAGGAAATAGCGCCAGTCTGCTCCTTTGTCCCTGGAAAGGCATCTCCTGCATGCTCACCTCTCTGAGAAATGCTCCAGGAAGAGCGAATAATCTCCCGCCAAGTGTGTCTCAGGTGCCCCTCAAATCTTGCTTCTGTGCTGTCTGCACCCTTGGGTTGTTTGCCTGCCTTCTCTCTAGGATTAGGGCAGCACTCTAAGGACTCTATTACAGCCAAGTCTGCTAACCTTTAAAACTAGTTTTTAAACCCCACTGATTGCAAGAACTCATGAAAATCAGCCCCTCTCGTTTTCCCAGCCAGTGGGTTTGGGGAAGTGTTCTCTTTGTGCGTTCTGTTGTGTTCTCTTGGCTGTCTCTCGCCTTTTCCTAAGACCATGGCTCCTTCCTGTAGCACCCACCATTGGTTTCTCCCCCAAACTACATCTCCGCCCTTCCTATCTTCCCCCATGTGTCTTCTTTCTCCCTTTACATATGCCCCAGGTATCTTTTTGACTATAATCCTCCTAGTGGGGTCAAATAGTATCTCAGTGTGGTTTTGATTTGCATTTCTTTAGTGACTAATAATGTAGAGCATCTTTTCATGTCTGTATTGGCTATATGATATCTTCTTTGGAGACAGGTCTATTCATATCTTTTGTCCATTTTTAAATTATTTGTCTTTTGTTGAATTGTAAGAGTTCTTTATTCTGAATACAAGTTCCTTATCAGATGTATGATTTGCACATATTTTCTTCCATTCTTTTGGCTTTTGTCTTAACTTTTTTGATCGTATCCTTTAAAGCACAAACTTTTTAAAATTTTAATGAAGTTCAGTTCATACATGTTTTCTTTTCTTGCTTGTGGTTTTAGTGGAATAATTAAGAAGGATTTGCCTAACCCAGGGTCATGAAAACTTACCTCTATTTTTTTCTTACAAGAGTTTTATAGTTTTAGCTTTTACATTGAGATCTATGATCTATTTGGGTTAATTTTTGTGTATGATATAGGAAAGTAATCAACTTCATGTTTTTGCTTTTGGATATCCAGTTATCTCAGCACATTTGTTGAGATAAACTGTGATTTCTTCATTGAATTGTCTTGGCATTCTTCTTGAAAATCAGTTTAACACAAATATAGGGGTTTATTTCTGTGCTCTCAGTTTTAGTCCATTGATGTGTATTTCTGGTTTTACGTCAGTACCACACAGTCTTTTTTTTTTTATTAAAAAATTTTTTTTAATGTTTATTTATCTTTGAGAAAGAGGGAGAGAGAGAGGGAGTAGAGGAGGGGCAGAAAGAGACATACCAAATCTGAAACAGGCTCTAGGCTCTGAGCTGTCAGTACAGAGCCTCATGCGGGCCTAAAGTCACCAACTGCAAGATCATGACCTGAGCCAACGTTGGACATTTAACTGACTGAGCCACCCAGGCACCCCGACACAGTCTTTGTTATAGTAGCTTTGTTTGGTAGGTTTTGAATTTGGTAGCGTGAATATCAACTTTGTTCATTTTCAAGATTTTGTTTTGCTATTCTGGATTGCTTTCATTATGTACTTTGAAATAAAATTTGATTTTAAAATTTGTACTTTTTTTTTTTTAATTTTTTTTTTTTTTTCAACGTTTATTTATTTTTGGGACAGAGAGAGACAGAGCATGAACGGGGGAGGGGCAGAGAGAGAGGGAGACACAGAATCGGAAACAGGCTCCAGGCTCTGAGCCATCAGCCCAGAGCCCGACGCGGGGCTCGAACCCACGGACCGCGAGATCGTGACCTGGCTGAAGTCGGACGCTCAACCAACTGCGCCACCCAGGCGCCCCTAAAATTTGTACTTTTAAATAAAATTATGATCTTTCTTTAAAAAAATTTTTTTTAGTGTGTGTTTATATTTTTTGAGAGAGGGTGTGCATGTGTGCATGCAAGCACGGGAGAGGCAGAAAGAGAGGAGAGAGAATCCCATGTAGGCTCTGTGCTGTCAGCATAGACCCTGATGCAGGGCATGATCCCACAAACTGTAAGATCATAACCTGAGCTGAAATTAAGAGCTAGACACTCAGTCAACTGAGCCACCCAGGTGTCCCCAAATTATCTTTTCAATAATATTTGAAACCAGGTGGTAAAGTTATTTATATAGTGACTTTGAATTTAATTTAAAAATGTTATGGAAAAATGTTATGAACTAATTCTGTTCAGCTTTATATTTGCTATTAAAAATATGCATATTCTAACCTTTTTTTTAACTTTTTTCTTTTCCTTTCTTGTATATCTTTCTCTATTCTAATATCTTACTATTTGAATAACATATTTCCAATTTGATATCACTACCTATTTCTTTTATTTGGAATTCTTTTGAATCTTTTCTTCATTGTAAGAAATGAAGCAAAGATGAGTGTATCCAGCAGGTCATCTGGAATGTTTTTATCATTTTATTAAATTACCATCACTACTATGTATTTTGGAAAATTTGAAAAATTTGGAAACGTCTTTCAGATAAATAAGCTTATAAATACTTTAAACATGATATAGAATAACATGTAGCAGAAATATATATAGCATTGTAAAGTCTCATTTTCTTGATTTCAGTAATAAAATTTTTCACATGAATTAATAACTCAATGTTTTTCTTTAGGCCATTGCATTACCTCCTATAGCCAAATGGCCATACCAGAATGGTTTTACATTTCATACCTGGCTAAGAATGGATCCTGTGAATAACATCAATGTGGATAAGGATAAACCCTATTTATATTGGTATGTATTTTTGTAACTCAGTGTTACTATCTTCCTTTGAGAATGAAAGAATATTTAGAGGTAAAATGAAAATTATTCTTTATAGTTTCAGAACCAGCAAAGGTCTTGGTTACTCTGCTCACTTTGTTGGGGGCTGTTTGATTATAACCTCAATAAAGTCAAAAGGAAAAGGCTTTCAACACTGTGTGAAATTTGATTTTAAGCCACAAAAGGTATGTGATGTTAGTAAGTCGTAATTAATTTAACAAGCTTTACTAGCCTTCAAAATGCTTTGTTTTAATATTAATGACATAACATGTGGTAGATCACAACTCTGTTTATTCTGTTTCAGAAAATGAAGTATAAGTCACTGGACAATTGTTCACTTCCCTGATTTGGATAATAAAAAGAATGATATTTTGTTATTCATAGAGTATTGGGATAATATCAATGGGACAATATCAATGGAAGTTACTTTAGTAGTAGTGGTAGTAGTAGTAGTAATATGTGTTTTCTTTTGTACCTTAAAATTTAGAGATTAATAAATGGTTCATCTGCAAAATGTATGTACATATAGATAAATAGGTAAAACAGATGTGGCAATATGTTGACAATTGTGGTATCTAGGTGGTGGAAAAGAGGGTGTTTGTACTAAACTTTTAACTTTTTTGGGATATATTTGAAAACTTTCATAGTAAAGAGTTGGAAAGGTAATTTCACAGTAAGTTCTTATGTATTGAGAGTTCCCTTGATTAAATATTCCAAAGGTTGAATATTGATATTATTTTATTGATATTTTATTTTTATATTTAATTATAACTTATAGTTTAAGTTTTACTTGTTATTTTGAGTGTGGTTGAGTCATTTCAAGAATCATAATCCTTTTTTTCCCAAACTGTTTTTACTTATTCAGTGGTATATGGTAACTATAGTGCACATTTATAACCGATGGAAGAACAGTGAGCTTCGATGTTATGTGAATGGTGAGCTAGCTTCCTATGGAGAGATAACATGGTTTGTCAACACCAGTGATGTAAGTGGTTTGAAAAAATTATTTTAAAATATGAAAAATATATTTTACATTGAGTATAAATTTTAGAATACCACAATGGCAGAGTTAAGTTTGGCTAGAATGTTGAGTCCTTGTTAAAAAATTATTCTGGATAGGGTAAAGAAGAGCATTTATAGGTAACAATGGGTATAGTTAGGAGCTCTACAGCAGAATTCTGATTGTTTTTATGAATGAGTAGGATGATACATGCTTATAAATTTTGCAAATAATTCATAGCTGCTATAGATAACTATTATGTAATAATTTTTTCAGGATTGAGGAAAAGATATGTACAATTCAAATTAAATTTAAAATTTTAAGTAAGAATTAAATTAAAATGTTCTTTTTTTTCCCCACCAATTACATTTTCAAATAGAAAACTTGAAAAATATAAATAGGAAAATGATTACAAACCATTACACCATTCACCATTAAATTCTTCTTTTATATCCTATGCTACGCATATTTATGTATTATGTAATGATAATCTTAAGAGCTTGGGTTTTTGTAACAGATAGTCTTAGGTTTGAATCCCAGCTCTGTCACTTACTGACTGTATGACCTTAATCTATCAGGCCTAAGTTTTCTCCACCTGAAAATGGGTGTAAAATAGTACCTATCTCAGAAGGTTAATGTGATAACTACATGAGATACTGTTTACAAATTAATTAGTAGAGTGCCTTGTACAGAGTAAGTGCTCAATAAATGTTAGCTCTCCTTTTTTTTTGTTTTGAAAACACAAAAAGGGGATCAGATATATATGTTGTTTTTTGACCTGTTTTTTCCTTATGTTAACTTTTATTGAGTGCTTCTTGTACTCCAAGCATTGTAATAAATACCTTTATTTTCTAAAAGCACCAACCTTGCAAGATAAGTACTATTATAATCTCCCATTTTACAGGTAAGGAGACTAAAGCACAGAGAGATTAAATAATTTGCCAAGATCACCAGCATGTGAAGCAGTGATTTGACTTAGGTGGATTGTCTTGAGAAGCCAGATGTTAACAACTTTTCTGTATTCCCTAATATCAATACGTATTTATTTTTCAACATTCTTTCTAATGGTTTTTTTGTTGCATAACCATTTAAAGGGATGTGAAGAACTTTAGTCTTTCTTTGTGGACACGTGGATTTTTAAAATGTGGTTTGTAACCTAGATGTTAAGAGAATTTTTTTCGTTTTTGACGTTAGAAGAGATACATGCATCTGCTTTTCTGGATTTACATATTTGAGAGATTGTATCCCATGATCTCACCCATTGTCTATACCTTGATATCTGCAAAAGTCTGTCTTTACAATTTTAACTTCTCACCAAACTTACAGAACCCTGCTTCTCCATTCATGTTGGCTCCATACATATTAACTCGCCGAAAGGCAGATTATGTCCTAAATGTAACTCATGATTTTCCTTCTTATAACAAAGACTGTTCTTCCATTTGCTTTTTTGGCTACTCAAGTATGAACCTTCAGAATCCATCATGATTTCTTTGACTCTTCTTTCTTACATACACTTTGTCGTCAGATTTTATTTATTGTACTCTGGAAAACTTCGGCTTTCTCCTTTTTTATGATGTCTTTCTTGATCTCTACACTTGATAATAATGAATTAAGTGAAATGCTAAATGAATTATTTTAATTTAGCCAGATTAGAACAGACGAAACATTTATACCAAAATTTATCCTGAAACATTTAATCAATATAGGTTATTATTTCTGGAGGAGATATTGTTGTTTTTTCTTTAATACAGTCTGTTTTCTTTCACAGACCTTTGACAAATGTTTCCTGGGCTCGTCAGAAACAGCAGATGCAAATAGAGTATTCTGTGGTCAGATGACTGCAGTTTACCTTTTTAGTGAAGCTCTTAATGCTGCTCAGATTTTTGCTATTTATCAGTTGGGACTGGGATATAAGGTACTTTACTTGCTGTTCATTGCTTAACCAGTGTTAGTTGAACTTGATTTAAAGGTAGGTGATGCATGGGACAAAATTGAAAGAGTAATCAGGGACACTACAGGGAAGTCACAGGAATCTGAAGGATACTTTAAATTTTTGAGGGAAACACAGTATACTTGTCATGTGGGCCTCTGTGCATACTACTAGCTCAAGTTTCAACTTGCATTCATGCTGCATTTGATGATGTCAGTTTTTGCATAACTAAATTTTCAACAATTACTGTGATTAAAAACAAGTACCATGTGGAAATTAATGTGGAAAAGGAAATGAGGATGATGGTGTGAAATCTGATTCCAAATTTGAGAGAGTTCATGCATTGTTCAATATGCATAAAAATTAATAACTAATTTTGCTAATATAATGAAAGAGACATTTTTTCTTTTGACTTGTTCCTTAATTTTTTCAAATGGCTGTTAAATTATTAAAATATAAAGTTGTTTGAACCAAACTATTTAGTAGTATTTATTTTGATCTAAAGCACCATAAACAGTTACTGCAATGCTAAGACTGTCATGAACTAAGAAAATTTGTGGGGTGCCTGGGTGGCTCAGTTGGTTAAGCAACTTCTCTGATTTCAGCTTAGGACATTGATCTCATAGTTCCTGAGTTCGAGCCCTGTGTTGGGCTCTGTGCTGGCAGCAAGGAGCCTGCTTGACATTCTTTCTCTCTCTCCTGTCTCTCTGTCCCTCCCCTGCTCCAAATAAATCAACATTAAAAAAAAAAAAATGGGAATCTCTGGGTTAAGCCATTGTTACTCTAGTTTGGTTTCAAGGAGCATGTTAGTCTGCTCTGTTTTTCTGAAAACAAAACCAATTTTCCTGAGTTGATTTACATTCCATTACATTCCGTATATTTTTATTTTAATTAGTTTTGACAAAAGTGTAACTCCCACAACATTAAATAAATGGAATAATTCTGTTCCTGCAAATGTTCAGTTGTGCCCCTTCCCAGTCAGTTCCTTCCACTTCTCTAACTCCACTGCATTCTTCTTGAGAGAAACTGTTAATCTGCTTTCTGTCACTAGAGTAGATTTGTTTTTCTTAAGGTTTTATGTAAGTGGAATCATGCAGCATGTGCTCCTTAGAGTTTGGTTTCTTGTGAGAGTCATCCCATGTTGTTATGTTGTAGTCGTTTCTTTCTTTTTATCGCTAAGTAGCATTCCATTATATTAATATATCACAATTTTTTTAAAAAGGATTTTATTCCTTTTTTTTAACTAATCACTACACCCATCATGGGGCTCCAACTTATAACCCCAAGATCAAGAGTCGCATGCTTTATTGACTGAGCCAGCCAGATGCCCCCATATCTACACTTTTTTAATGCATTCTTCTATTGATGGACATTAGGGTTATTTCCAGTTTTGGGCTGTTAGGAACAAGCTGCTCTGAATATTGGTGTATAAATCTTTGTGCTGCCACATAATTTTATTTCATAAATATTTAAGAGTGGAATTACTAACTGATATGGTAACTGAAGTTGCCAAACCCTCTTCCAAGGTAGTTGTATAATTTTACATTTCTATAAGCAGTATATGAGCTTTCTACTTGCTCCACATCCTTAACATCTTGTATTGCTGGTCTTTTTAATATTAGGCATCTCAGTGAGTATGTAGCTGTATTTCAGTTTGGTTTTAATTTGCTTATTATAATGAGTAGAGATCCCAAGCATCTTTTTTTTTTGCTTATCGATCATTTTTGTATGTTCCTTTGTGAAGTGTGTTCACATCTTTTGTGTATTTTTTGTTTGGTTGTTTGTTTTCTTATTAAGTTTTGAGATTTCTTTATATGTTCTGGATACAAGAATTTTATCAGATGTATGAGTTACAAATATTTCTCCCCCGGTTTGTGTCTTGTCTTATTTTCTTTCTTTCTTTTAAAACTTTTCTTTCTTTCTTTCATTCTTTCGTTCTTCTTTCCTTCCTTCCTTTTTTTTTTTTTTTTTTTTTTTTTTTTTTTTTTTTTTTTTTTTTTTTTTTTTTTTTTTTTTTTTTTTTTTTTTTTTTTTTTAGGAGAGAGAATGAGTATGAGTGGGGGAGAGGGGCAGAGGGAGAGAGAGAGAATCCTAAGCAGGCTCCATGCTCAGTGTGGAGCCCATTGTGGGGCTTGATCCCAGAACCCTGGGATCATGACCTGAACTGACATCAAGAGTTGTACTCTCCACTGACTGAGCCAGCCAGGTTCTCCACCTTTTTGTTTTCGTAATGTGTCTTTTGAAGAACAGATTGGTTGGAAAGATTTTCTCATGTGTTTTTCTCTTACAGTTTCAGCATTTTTGTTTAGGCATGTGATCCATTTTAAGTTATTTTTTGTGTCAAGGGTCAAGGTTCTTCCCTCCCCACCCCCCCGCCAATATGGACACCCTGGTGTCCCAGTACTGTTGTTTTATAAATTGCATTCTTCCTCCATTGCCTTACCTTGGCATCTTTATATTTCAATGACTTATATGTCTTTCTTATGCCAATACGGTATTATCTTGATTAATGTTAGTTTCACAGTGAGCATTGAAAACAGGAAGTCTGAAACCTCACTTTATTTTTCTTTTTCAAATTGTTTTGGCTTTCTAAACCCTTTGCATTTCCAGATATATTTTTTAGAACTCGCTTATCAATTTCTAGAGAAATGTCTACTGGGATTTTATTTGGTATTGCATTGAATATTAGATCAATTAGAGAAGAATTGGCCATCCTACTGATACTGATTTTTCCAGCCTGTGAATATGATGTATCTCTCTATTTGTTTAGGTTTTCTTTAATTTCTTCCAGCACTGTTTTTTGGTTTTCTTTGTATAGGTGATATATACATTTTGTTAAATGTATTCTTAAGTGTTTAATGTTTTTCAAGTAATAAGTTGTATTTCAAGTCTCAGTTTCTAATTATTTGTTTCTAGTGTATAGTTGAATTTTGTTTATTGACCTTGCTAAATTTGCTATTAGTTTTACTAGAGTATTCTAGGATTTCCTATACATATGTTATTATAGACTGTAAATTTTATTTCTTCATTTCCAGTCTTTATGCCTCTTCCCTTTTTTGTTTTGTACTAAGACCATCAGTATAAATAATTAAATAGAACTGGTGAGAATAGACATTTTTGCGTTGTTTCTGATTTTAGGGGGAAAGCAATCATACATATTTTATAGATGCCTTTTATCGAGTTGGGAAATTTCCATTTCTGGTTTCCTGAGAATTATTATCAGAGACATATTGAATTTTATAAAATGAGTTTTGCTTTTTTATCAACTCTGATAATCTTTCCTTTTAATTGGAGTGTTTACATAGTTTACAGTCAGTATGAGTATAGATACTATGTGTCTTAAATCTAAGTGTTTATATCTGGACTTTAAATTCTGTTTCATCGAACTGTATCCCTAGGCCAGTAGAACACAGTCTTGAATACTGCAGTTTTGTAATACATTTTTTTAAGTTGATTTATTTATTTTGAGAGAGAGAGAGAAGGGGGCAGTGAGAGAGGGAGAGAGAAAGAGAGAATCCCAAGCAGGCATTGCACTGTCAGCATAGAGCCTGATGCAAGGCTCAAACTCATAAAGTGAAATCATGACCTGAGCTGAAATCAAGAGTCAGACACTTAACCGACTGAGCCACTCAGGCACCTCTGTAATTCATTTTTTAAGTCAGGAAGCCTGAGTCCTCCAACTTTGTTCTTTTGCAAGATTGTTTTGGCTATTTTTAGTATCTGTAAAAATTTTTTTTTTAATTCTATTTATTTTTGAGAGAGAGAGAGACAGAGACAGAGTGCGATCAGGGGAGTGGCAGAGAGAGAGGGAGACACATATATCAGTCATAGAAAGGCAAATAATGCATGATTCCACTCATAGGAGATATCTAAAATATCAAACTCATAGAAACAAAGAATTGAAGGGTGGTTGCCATGGGCTGGGGGAGAGAGAAAAGGAGAATTGACAATCAGTGGGTATAAAATTCCAGTTATACAAGGTGAACAAGTTCGAGTGATCTGCTGTACAACATTGTGCCTATAAAAATACTGTATTGTACACTTAATATCTGTTAAGAGGATAGATCTCCCGTTAAGTGGTTTTACTGCAATTAAATTAAAAAAAGAAAAAACAAGAAAAGTGTTGAAAGCAGACATCCCTGTATTTTTACTGATCTTAGGAGAAAAAGCATTCCATTTTTTTTGCCATCAGTATGGTGTTTGCTGTTAGCTGTTTGTAGATGTTCTTTGTTTATTTGAGGAAGTTCACTTTTATTCCTAGTCTGTTGAGTGTTTTCATCATGAAACGTTGCTGGATTTTGTCATTTGTTCTTTGTGCTTCTTTTGGGATGATCACGATTGTTGTCTTTTGTTTTTATTAATATAGTATATTAAATTGTTCAGATATTGTTAAATCAACCTTTTGTTCCCAGGATAATCACACTTGGTCATAGTTTATATTCTTATCCATGAAGTATACTGAGGTCCAGAAAGGCATCTTAATGGTAAATGTGTAGAAATAACTGCTGGTATTAGTGCTAGGTCAAAAATCTTATCGGTAGTCACCTCTAACATTTGAGTCATCTTTTCCTCATATGTATGGTCAGATAGTGATAAAACTGTACTGAAAATCATGTTATGTGAGAAATTGATGATCCTAGAATTACTTCTTGCTTTATTTTTTACTGTTGAAATCTGTTGTGTTGTATAGTCCATGTTTTAGAGAACCCCTTATAACTTAAGGTAGCAGGGATATGGAAAACCAGCAATCTCAGGATTGCTTCTAGGCAATTGCAATTGATTCAGTGCTTTAAAGATTAAAATAATAAATATTTCAAAAGAAATGAAGGGTTAAATACTTCTTTCATATTGTCTTAGTGTTTGATGAAGTACCATGTTGCTTTAAGTACTTTGAAAGGGTATTTTTTTATTTTAATTAATCATATCAAATAGTATTTACACATGAATATTGTTTCTATAAATTTAGCAGCAATTCCTGAAATATG